AACATGTAAAAAACCTTCAAAATTTATTAAAAAGTTCCTTCTTAACATAGTGAGTAGCTAAGACCTTGTGACACTTAGGAAAATGCCCTCTCTGGCCTGCAGGTCTGGATCCTAACCTTGCACGAGATGGAGCACAATACAAATTCTGTTCTGTCTCATTCAGACCAGAAATGTGATTCTCAGTCTCAGGAATCCACCACACAGCATCTTCAGGTCTCCTAACCTGACTCATAGGCCAGGCTAAATTAACTGGACTGAATCAGATTAGCTGGCTTTCCAGTCCCCAAAAGAATTAACTTCCCACAGAAAAGGGAGAACCAGGGACAAAGACAGTAGCTACTTCTGAGACAAGGGAACAGAGATACTTGCCCAAGGTTACAGAGCGTTGATAGGGGCTGAAAGTACAGCCACAACAATCTGGCCTGCCCACACAAGTCAGAATGTCACTGAACCAGAGTGGAAAAAATAGGTATTGACATCAGACACATTACAATGTACAGAAAGAAAAATAGCTCAGCCCACATAGAACATATCCACGCAACAAAGGAAACAAATTTCCTTGAAATTCCTGTCAAAAGGCACGCTGATCTATCATCTGTTCATATTTGAGATTCCAACCAACCAGACAAGCTCTGGCCAATCTCACTCCCTGAAAGAGTGTCCTGAGCCCAGCTGGCTGCCTCGTGTGGGCACGCTGGTCAGGCTGTCAGAACGTCACTACATGAAACGTCCTGGCAAGCCTGCAACTCTCTGCAAGCCCAAGAAGCCAAAGTGCTCTTGTCAGTAAAAAGGAATGAGCTAACTATCACTTTCCACTTTATTTTATGCAATTTTAGCATAAGGATAAGCCAGGGCAGTGTCCTGACAAAGCTGACAAAAAAAGTGAGACAATGCCAACTGACAGAATGTAGTTCAGCTGTGAGAAATGCACTGCTTCTTCCAAAATTACTGGTGTAGCAGTAAAACAAGCATTTTTTACCACAATGCATTGTTAGAAAGGAGGGGAAATAAATCTAAAGTTACTTTTTAAACTAGCTCATGGTAAATTCTAGACAAAGGTCAACAGTGGTCTGCATTGCAGCATTTCTTTAAAAACAAAGGCTAGTTCAATAGTTTAGGATTCAGAAGAATCAGAGAAGTCCCTTGCAGATCAGTTCACAGACATCCAATTAATAAAATACTAGCACAGTCCTACCCCCTGGAGCACAGCAAAGATAAATATATTAATGACTGCAAGGCTCTCTAGTTCTCCACTGAGGTGTCCACTTCAGAAATAAGACAGCTAGACAGAACTAATGAGTGCCAAGAGTGCACCAGTAACACCCCATTTCCAAGTAGTCTATTGACTTCTCTAAAGCATCTGTCCTGTAGCAAACCACAATTAGAGAAGTGCAAGCCACAAGGGATTTCATTACTATTTTTTACTTCAAGACAAATAAATGGAAAAATCCTCCAGAGCCTCATCACCAACCTGTGCAAAGTAACTCCATAAGCTAGTGTACAAAACATGGCATCACAGCTAATCTGGCTCAATTCCTTTCTAAATAAATCCAGAGACCTGAGTTTCTCTAAGTCACTGATTCATTAGAAAAGATACTTTCTGGTTTCCATGAACAAGATGCACAAGGAACAGAGGGTGCACACACAGTGACAGATTCCACACAGGACAGAACAGCCCAGAGATGCATAAGCTCAATTCACTGACTTCCTCTGCCACCTACCCTGCCTTATCCCAGCTCTCCTATTCCATTCATGCCCAATGCCACCCCCCTCTTCTGAAAACCTGAGCTATCCCTCTGGGAAACAAAGTCTAAATTACAATCCTCCTTTCAACCCCACTCTTCAACTTAGAGCTCCACAGGGCTGGATTCAGCAGGGCTATTCTGGAGAACAAGTGTCTCCTTTTTCTTCCAGTTGATCTGAAAGGCCTTGGTCCTGTGGAGGAGCTGTACAGCACCAGTGCACCACAGAAGAAGGAAGAAGAAAGGGCTCCCCAGACCGTGATACAGAGGAAATGGGGGGGGATGCACACTGAGGAGAGCTGGAAGAGCACTGCAGGTCAACAGAAGCACAAGTTTGCTAAACTAACTGGTCTCAAGGCCTGACTTCATTTAAGCATTTATAGCTCACCAAGTATATTCTGCACAGTCTCCCTCTCTCTCCATTACACAACACAGTCAGGCATGTTACACTTCTTGCTTAGCATTTACTTGAAGCAATTTTAAACCACATCATGGCTCACAGTCTGCAATGAGCTGCTCGGAGTGAAAAAAAATGATTTGGTAACACCCCAAAACTCTCAGCCAATGCAGAGAGCAGCAAGGTGGTGAGAGGCTGCTGAAAGCAAATGAAATAGCTGTAATTTCATCCCTTCTCAACAGCACACTGGCCTCTTCACATGTGCGGAAGGACCTTGAATCATCTGACCATTGCACAGACACACCTGCAGGACGATATAAAGTCTCAGACAGGCTGCTCATGTTTAGACTTTGGAATGTTGCATCTGTATTTAGCTTTTCCTTGTATCTGTCTGACGGGAAAATTTTTAATCAAACAGCGGCAATCCTGGGCAATGGCTGCCACCCAGTGCCTGGAAAAGTAACTGCACACACTGAAGGAAAAGACAAATCTCAGTTGCTCAAGCAAGTTTCTGCTTAAAATTTTCCTCTATGCCCTCATAAACTATGCACTATAACACATCAGAAAAAAAGATAATTCAAACAGGGAAATATTTCCTGTGTTTCATGTTTATTCACTGTTTTACAACTTCATATTGCTACAGAAAGTAATCTCTTCATAATTATCATTTATGCAGAAAAAGAAGGGAGAAACCCAAAAAACTTTCTCTCACAGTGAACCATCATGACAGAAGTGTTCTGATATATACTGTCAGGATAACTCAAAAGATTTTGTAGTGTAAGCTTACCATTCATAAAATCATCTAGTAATCTCCTTAATTGGCATGATTCCAAATATCCTTTGGGTTAGGAAATATTGCTGCAAATTTAATCCCAGATGGAGAGGTGCCAACCCCTTGCCCTGCAGGGACCAGAATTCTGCTTATATGAGGCAGCAATAGACTCTTTTCTACCAATGACCAATCAGGCTTTTTGGGCAGCACCAGAATTACCAACAGTTTGTACTTCCATCTGTAAAGATGTTCATTTTGCCACAATGGAAGGCAGGCAAGAGACCCTGGGAGTTCATATAAATGAACTCTCTGCCCTATTTACAATCAACTCCAAAAATAAATAGAGATAACGCTCTCCTTTCTTCCACACATCTTCAAAACTGCACACCCATTCAATTTCTTTTGCTTTCACTTAGGCCTTTTTGTTTCTCTTAACACATTAAATAAAAAACTGAGCATAAAGAAAGCAAAGACATGATGTGAATCCCCCCATCATCACTTACTTCTCCCGTAATTGGATTGGTTCCATATTTCTTTATCCAAGGTACAATGCTCCTGGAAAGAGAATGGATAAAGTAATTCAGGACAAGCACCATCAGAAACCTCCCTCATGGCCACAACTGGTTTGTGTAATGATGATTACACAGCTGTAACCAGTTCAACAACACAAAAATAAAGCTAAGTACAGACAGGAACTTACAGGATGTCAAAAACTGTCCCATCTGGTGTGCAAACTGGGTATTCAAATGGCTGCAGAGACAAACTAGAAAAAAAGAGAACACAATCTTGTTAGCAAAACCAGCTGGAAATCACAATGTAAGTGGCAAGCATATTCAGCATCCCCTGTTAGGGATGCTTCCATAAGCCTGGCAGCTGTTAGCTCATAGGTATGGAAGACAACCTCCTGAACTACACAATTTACAAGGATTTCTAACCCACTTCTACCAACTCTTCTCCTTCACTCCCGCACTTCGAGCAGTAAACTCTAAACAGAAAAAAAAATTTGCAGAAACAGTCTTCAATCTACCTTAATTTCTATCTTAGCAAGATGAGTGACTGACCAAGCACATCCTGAGCAGGGACAAGTGGATTTGAGCCCTGATGACACAGATTTGAAAGACTGGGATGTACACAGTAATTGTTCTGCATTATTTCACCACTTGTGTGTGTATCCTTTCAGCCATCAGCTCCAATCTCTGCAGACACTGATCGTGGGTCATGCAGACTTTGTTTCAGTTCTTATTCAACTTTTTCTTGCCACCCTGCTGCCACAGCAGCCACATGTCAATGAAAGTAACTGCTCCAGAAGAATATGGCTTTATTTCAGTGTCAACAGCCTGATAAATAAATATGCCATTACGTAATGATAATGTAAATTGTTGTCTTACCTGCAGTGATCAAATGATAAACGTCTAAAATTGGTTCGTGGAAGGTCTGTTTATGGAAAAAGAAAACCCACGCAACAGATTTTAGTAAGTACATGGTATTCTCGGTAACAAAAAAACATTTGAAAGTTGCATATTGCTACATAAACGGTGGCAAGTTACTGATGACAAGGATAAATAACCTAAAGCTTGCGAAACTGCAACTAAAATTTCTGAACTGAAATTACACTGCCGGAGAAAGATCAAAACAGAGCTCTTGCAAACCGACAGCGCTGAGTTTAAATGAAATAATTAACGCTCAGGCTCTGTCCCACGAGTGGGCACAGAGCCGGCGGAGGGCGGGGACGCTCATCTGGCCAGAAACGCGGCATTTCCGAGCAGTACCGCGGCCTCAGGCAGCAGCCCGGGGCTCGCAGTCCAGCACCCGCTGCCCCGGGGGTCTGAGGGAAAGGCCGTCCCCCCTTACCTGCTTTCTTGCCGCCGTAGAACTGCGTGTACTCGGCGCACGTGATGTACCTGCGAGACAGGGGGGGTCACTGAGGCACAGCACAGACACGGCCCCTCACAGCCCGGCCCCCCCGCGCCTTGCCTCGCGCCCCCCACTCACATCTTGTCCTTCTGGTGCTGCCGCTTGCCCATGGCTGCGGCTCGGCCTGCTCGGCCCGCGCTGCGCCTCAGGCCCGCCCGCGCCTTCCGCCGGGTGCGCCGGGGAACGGCCGCGCTGCGGAAACACCGGCGGTGGCAGGAGCGTTCCGGGGCCGCGGGGAACCGGCCGGACAGGCCGGGAATGCTCAGGCTCGAGAAGGTTGGTGCGAGCTCAGAGCAGCCTCCAGGGCTCCGCTTCACTAAAACATGTTTTCTTGCCTGGAATTTTAAAATCTTTGTGTTCCTGCTCTGTTGGGCCGTGTCAGAACCTCCCAGGAAAAAACGGGTAGAAAAACCTACTTGGTGTCTTAATATGGATACGGCTCCTCACAAAAAGCATTTCAGTGTCTCTTCAAAGACTTAACGACAAAGAATTTACTGTCCCTTAGCTAATTGCCTTTAAATGCCATTAAAGGGCCTTCATTCAAGACTAGTACAAACAGCACAAGGCTGAACAGTGGATGGCCAGAGTACAGATCCCTTTTCTTTAGCAGGAGGAAACAGCCAGTTGCCCTGGAGCTTTCTCTCATCAAACACCTCCAAATCCATTCATGCTCCTTTTTTCTTTCCTTGTTAAACCATCACCCTGGCAGCTGCCTACAAGAGCCACTGGAGTGACATCCATGGAAGTGGATAGCCAGACACCCCTTCTCCCCAGAAGATGATGTTCAGCTCCTGTTTTAATCCCATCTCTTGGTCCTCGGCTGCATCCATGAGCACAAGGTGAGCACAACCTGCTCTGCTTGCAGGGGCTTATACTAAACAGTTTCTGGAAGTCCATGATTATGTGTTGTTGTGGTTTTCCTCTGAGGAACAGAAGACTCGTTCCCACGAGCGTAGTCGAATTGGCAACAGTGTATGAATTATTTACAACATGACAAGTGGTTCTCACTATTAGACTTTGGCCACAGCAGCACAGCTACACCTTGTCCTGGCTGAGAGTGAAGGATATTGTTTGTTATATGTTTAGGAGGAAAACTGCCCTTTTACAAGGGTTTAAATACACTTAATCATTCCAGTTCTCTTACTCAAAAACATTTCAAAGCAAGGCATTGAGGCACACCCAAACAGCAGGGCCTGCAAAGAACCAACACCTTCCTTTGCTCCTTCTCCAGCACCAAGTACACTCTGGGAAAAGAAAACAACTTGATTTTTTCAGTGGAATTCCAAAAGCACTCCACAAGGAACATGGCCATAACTGCAGAAAGCTCCTTCCTTGCTGCAGTGCAGGCACTCTGGTCAGTGGTGAGGGGACCCTGTTTGGCTCTGTCTGAGATGATGAGTATTCCCACACAGCCCCTGCTCCCTTGGCCAAGATGGGACTTTTTGGGAAAAAAGCTATAGCTGTCCACAGACAGCACCACCTCTTGTCTGATCACACTTTCAGAGGAAAGATCATCCAGACAGAATTATTTATTTCCAGACAGGTTACTGTGATTCAGCCTGTATTGGCATTCCTGGAAATGCCTGTGCCCTTTGTAATAATTCGAGACCATGTTTTTGCTTTTTGTTATTTTTTTAAACCAATGCAATGTTCTTTTATTTTGTACTTACAAAAAGAGCCATCCCATTATATCCCTCCCCCTCCCCCCAAAATACCTTTTACAAACATTGAAAAATTAAAAACCTGATGATGACATGTTAGTTTGGTAGAGTTACTTTGAAACATAGCCTTTGTAATTAAACTCCTACAAGATGACTTTGTTGTGATAGCCTGATTATTGGCCAAATAAAATTCCATATTACAAGTTAGCAAATTCTAGTACAAAAATAGTCCATGTGTTAGAACAGCCTCTTATTATTATTATATTCACAGGAAAGAGTCTATTGGCTGCATAATACCTTAATATTTATGAAATTTCTTTTTACGTGGCTCATTCATCTAATTCAATATAGTGTTGAGCCTCAATAAATCCTCAGGCAAAAAACCCTAAACAGGGTTAAATATGCTGTTCAGTGTACTCTGAAGTACTGTGCTTTTCACAGGACATCCAAGAAACCGCACAAACAGTTCTCAGCTAGTTTTAATATTAAATGAGATCCAGATCCAAAAGGATCCCCCTGAAGTACATATCCATGACTTCCCATAGAAACAGAGGTCACAGCTTCAATGGTCAAGTTTCACTGGGGAAACTGTTGAGCTCCTTCACTCATCATCTCCAGAAATCCGCTGGGACCTCTGCGGCACAGCCCTTCTTCAGGAGTGTCCCCACTGCCCGGGCTCTCGCTCCTCTTTTGTTTCTACTTAATGCTGTTCAGCAGTTTCTCTCAGACCAGGCCCCACAGGGAAAATCTGGGGACATGCTACTTGTCTCTCAAGATGTCCAGCTGCTCTTGATACTCTGTGAAAAGCCTCTGGAAGCGGAGGTTCTGTCCAATAACAGGAAGAAGCTCTTTCAATAGTTCTCTCTTTCGTAAACCCTGAACAGAAAACACAAAAGCATCCTCAGAATCTATTATTTGTTATCATTAACATGTTCCACAGAGCTCTCTAAGATTCATGCCCTTTTTCCTGCCTAGAGCTGTGTATTTTATGTTCTCACTCTGTTTCTATGATTCCCAGAATAAAAACTGTCTTTACATTTACACTCTCATGAAGCTGGAGCAGCCTCTGCAGTTCCAGACTCCAGGCTGTGCTCTGAGGGAAGATGTGTCTTTGGCATGTCCCTGTTTCAAAGCTGCTGTCTGAACAATGTGGAGAGCTGAACACACAACTTTCCTTCATCTGTGTGATACTCAAGACAGCACCAGAGCTGACACTTGGACAACAAGAATTTCCCTGTGGTTTCACATGGAATAAATCTCAATGCCATGGGAGAAAGCCTGCTTAAGTGATCAGAGCAGACTATAGAAAGGATAATACCCTGTAATTTTTATGGGAAACTTCCTTGTTCTTCATTAAACTATTATCATAACTTACCATAACTGTTGATTCCCACTGACTTCCAGCTGAGTAATGGACTGGACCCAGTAAATCCTTGCATAATTCTCGCAAACGATATTCAAACCCTGGAGATAGTCACAATTTAAAATTTTAAAAACACAGCATTTCATTACATATAACCACTCTACAATGTAGCAGACAAAATTCAGGAAAGAATTACAAGTATCTGGAATAAAATAAAGCCCAAAGCATTGATTTCTGGAAAGTTATATTTCTATTTTTACAGCAATTCTTTGGAAGTATAAAATGATTTTTAGAGCTCTGAAGGGTCTTATTTAAGGTTCTCAAAACTAAATCCACTACTACAGATGATCTACAACCAGGAGAAAAACTGAAGTCCAAGGTAATTACTCCAGCTTGTTTTAAGAGCTGCCCTGATCTCAACCTCACTCTCCCTTCCCACACAAACATACCAGCTTTTAAAAAACCAAAACACCTTTCATAAAACCACACATAGTTTCTGGGCTGCCTTTATTTACTCAAAAATCAGAAGGGGGAATTCCCTTGAAAGAAACAAAGTCTATTCAAGAGTAACTTGCCAATCAACATGTAATAGATCAAGTATTTCAGTGGACTGGAATTCAGTAGATGTTGAAATAATCATAAAAATAAAGTGTCAATAGTAGGATGTGCAATTTTCAAAGTTCAGCAGCTCTAGAAACCTACTGAAGCAGCAATACACATCTGGCAAAGCACAGTTTTTGTGACATCCATCCATCCATCCATGGCAGCAACATTTGTAGGTGCCAGAGGAACCCAGTGCATGCAGCAGAGGTTTGCAGCTAGTGAAGGCTTTTAAAAGTACAACCATCTCTAACATATGACCCAAGATTAATATTTTAATTTCAGCTGAGAGAGCCACACACAGTTCAACGAGCTCTCTTGTTAAATAAGGTAAGGGTCAAAAGGTAAGAATTAATGAGTTCGATTTTAATTCTGCCAACACCTATTAGGTGGCATAAAGCGAATCATTTCATTTCCCTCTGTGCAGAATGATTATGCAAGGTGAGGAGTAAGGCTGAATTAATACAAAGGGAACTACTAAATTATGAATGCAGACAGGCAGAGATACAACAGAGATCCTTAGAACCCAAAAAGTATAAAGTCTGTTGATTAACCTTATCTAACATAATAGCATAGAGATAAAATGTATTAAAATACAAAACAGATACAAGGAACCTTTCTGGTGTGTTCTTTTTTTCACAGAATTTAACATGTGGAATTCACCAGTACAGGCAGTTGAAATTGTAAAATGTAAAGAAATAATAAAGTGCAAGCAATTCAAGCAAATTCTCTGCAATTTTATGTGTTTGGGTACAAAGTGCCAGAGACTGAGCAACTCCTCCATCTCACATCAGGCAGCAATTGTCAGCTGGCTGAGGAGGGTTACTCATTTTACTGGTGCTGCTGGTTTCCCTGAGACATCTATAGCTGCTGCCAGACAATATCTGGGACATGCCTGACAGACCACTGGGCTTTTTTACAATGCAATTGCCATGACTGGAGTCTGCAGATGGCATTGCCTCCCCAGACCACAGTCTGTTCCCAGTCACCGTGTCAAAACGGGATTCCTGAGGACTCAGCACTGCAGAAGCAAATACAATTTGTTTTGGTTTTAAGCAAAACACGAGTCCAGAAGCCAAGTGCTAAAAGGAGGACGTTAAGGGCAATCACACATGAATATGAAGAGTGTTTTTTAGAAGCCCATCAGAGCTGCAGAGGAGTACCAGAGCCTGGGAAGTCTCACCTTCATTAACTAGGTACCGTGCATAGATAAGGAGCCAGTGGTGATATTCATGACTGGATTGTAACATAAGTGCTGCTGCTATCTGGTTCTCCAGGTATGCAAGTGTTGTTTCTTGTTGCACTAAATGAGGCATGGAGAACAGTCTTGCAGCTTGCCTTCCTGAACTGCAAAACAAAACACATTAATGTGCCATAAAATCAGATACAAGTTTAAGGAATATATCTTTTTGTAGCACTAGCTATAAAGCACCCATCTTTCAGAGGCACACAAGATATAAAGTTAAAGCATTTAAAGGATTTCTGGCATATAAACATAGTCATAAGAAAGATAATTTGAAAAGAGTAACTACTTATTAGAATGCTTTTCAAAAAGGCAATTTTTCACTCTGTTATTGTCTCTCTCTCAAAAAGAGAGTGTTTGTTTATATTTCAAGTGCTTTTCTCAACAAAATTCCATTCCCCTCAAAAGAACAGCAATAAAATCATACAACTCTACACAGTTTCTCTCTGGAAAAAAATAAAACTTGGATGTGAAGAGCAGAAATAGCAAAGACATCTGCCTGGGCAATCTAGTTAAATCCAAGTGAGGATGGGCTGTTAAGCTACCTACAGGAATCTGCTCTGGCTCACACAATTCCTTGGTGATATTTTCACTTGTTAAAAATACTCACTAGATGACTAATATCTCAACTTTCTCAAAGACTTCATTAAATTCATTCTTTGAGGCCAACTGCACTAACTCCAAAGTCGTAGGCCTACTCCAGAAAGCAGGTAAACTAAAAGTTAAAATGCAAAATGTAAAAAATGCAGTTTAGCTAATAAAAGTGTAACAGAATTGTCTAATACCTTACCCATGCAATAAAGAGGAGCCTTAAAATGATTATATTTAGAGCATGTTTTCCTGCCCCTCAGACAATCTCATAACAACATTAAGACTATAAACATGCAAAGGATTAAAAAACCACTGCATGAATGACTGAGCATTTCAGAGCCATTGGCATTTCAAGAGGGAACTCAGTGATTCAGGCATGTGAATACAGAACATGACAAAACCCAAACATGCTGATGACACGAAGGTGGCGCGTGCGTACTTTGATGTGCGTCCCTGTATTACAGCCAAGGGTCCAGAACACAGCATGGCTTCTTGGGATGGCAAACTAGTCCTGAAGTCTGCACATTGTGCTAGAGAGTCCTGTTTGTCAGAAACAAGATTCCTAGAAAGAAGCAAACAACCACAAAACAAGTCTGAGGAGTGCAAATGGCAATATCAGCAGATCCAGCTCTGTTCGGCCTCAAAACCTGATTTTTGTTTTCACAGATAACCAAAAAATATCACTGAAGTGGCTCAGGAATTCCAGGGACCCTGATTATTCCCACTACTTGCCCAAATTTTGCTTGTGCTGTGTCCCTCCTACTCCCAAAGTTAAACATATTAATTACATAATAAAATCTACTATCAGTTTAGAAGGAAATGAACTTTCTCATTGTCATTTTACAATCTAATAAGAAGCCATAACCCAGAATGATGCCTGGAGTGAACACAGGTAATGACTTTCTTATTAAGAATTTGATTTTACCTTATGTCAGGTCCAGCCACCAGACACACACACACCGACAATCTTTTCCATAATTACAGCTCTCCCTTCATATGGAGGGAGCTGACATTACAGCTGCCATTCCCACATCTGATTAAGGATATCATCACTGGCTTGAGATGCCAGGAGAAAGAGTGGCTCAAACTAATGCTAAGTTCAGACTTCAGACAGCACAGGGGTAAAATGGTACAAATATTCAAAACACCCTCTGCTGCTTTATCATGTTTAAATTTGTATGATGACTAAAGGCATTGCTCTTTTATATATTTCCCAAGCTGTGGTACAAACTAAGAAATGGCAGAAAATTCAGAATTATGGCTGAGAGCCTGTCTCCTGCTCCTTACTCCCTTAATAAAAAGAACAAAAAAGGTACTTTTCCTTTTCCAGAGCATTCACTTTGTGTAGTTGAATAACAACAATTATTCTAAGGAGGAATTAAAACAATAAGCTCTTTCATAAGCAATAAGCAGGCTCATTACACTAATTACAACAATTATATTAGGATTACAACACTTTTTTTTCTTTCTAAGAAGACAACAAAGAACCTATTTTGGAAAAACCCTGTAAATAATTTACCCATGGAAATTTTTTAAAGGAACTTATGCCTTTCCATGGGGAAAGCCTATCCCAATAAGACACAGATTCTTGTGTAGCCTTTTCTTGTGTTTAGTAATGACTCTTCCATGACTGAGGCAGAATGATTTCTTCCCAGTAAATCAGAACAGGTCAGTTCCTCTGAGTTGTAAAAACAGGAAATAATCCATGACTTACCACGTAGAAAGAGAAGGATTAAAGCAGTATGCCTTCCCATCAGACATGCTCATGACAGGAATTCCATGCTGAGTCAGCAAGATCTGAGAGACAGTTGCATCACTTCCTACAAGTCAAATCAGACCAAAGTGTTTCTTTTGGAAGTCTTGCCTAAGACTCATAGTGGTAAAAATGGTATCCACCATTAATTACCAGTTACAACAACCAACAGAAAAAGGTTCAATGTTGTTCTCAAGCACTGATAGGAAGGTCAAGAACAAGCTAATGATGGCAAGCACCAGGCTCAGTGCAGTAGCATTAACATCAATTTTGCAAAATACATTATCAATCTTGATGCTGCAATTTATACAGAATATGGCCTTAATCTTAATCTTCCTTAATTAAAGGAATATTCTCCTTACCTCAGGAAAATCTTCAGCAATTCTACCATGTCATTTGTAACTCAAGAAGCCTTCAGAGCTTTCTTTTTCCCATTAAGTTAAAATCATAAACCCCAGCATGTTCAGAAAAGTGTGCTGAGAGCACCGTGCAAGTGGGATAGCTGGAGTCTTATTTCCCAGCATACTCCAAGCCCAGGGCTTGTGCATGTAACTTCTAATGATGACATTTGCAGACTGCTAATACAACTGCTTTCTAACTAGTTTGGATTAGTACTATATGGATTAAAGCTAAAACAGAAGCTAAGGCACTCAGAGGCACTGCTTTTTTAATGATTTCTGTTATGCCAGATATTGCAGTGATTGAAAGTGAAGGTTTTTAAGTAATGAATCAGAATATAATCAGTTGTTGTTCATCACTGAGACAATAAACATGCAAATTACACAGAGAAATTGCTGCAATAGCAGATTTACATTGAGTATTTACTTTGTGATCTTTACAACACTGAATTTCTACATTCAGAAGCAAGGCAGACTATATGCTGCAGAATCTCACACAAGCTTGCTACTCACTGATATTGTTATCACTGTTATTTCAAGAACTTCCCTTTATTACACATTAAATGTGTATTTATTACACAAGAATGAAGGGAAATTATTTGTTTATGCTTTTCAGGTTTCATAAAATTTCAGCATATTCATAAATGGCACTAAATAGTACAGTGGGCTCACAGGTTGGTAATTATTACCTGAAAATATTGTTTGCAAAGACTCATCTCTAACAATGGCTGTCTGCTTGTGAACATCCCTGAAAAAGACAAAAGGACAAGTCTGCAGTCAACATACAACTGAAAACTCCAAAATCTTTTAACAAATGCACTTCTTCACTATTCATAACAAAGTGGGGGTTGGGGAATTTGTTTAGAGTTTTTTTGTTCTGACATTTTCTTCATTGCTTTGACAAAATTATTTTGGCAAACTCAAACCCCTTATAGCAAGACAGAAGTTAATAGCAGAGAACAATTTTTATGGCACTTTATCAGGAAACCTCATTACAACAAAGCAAACAGTGAGGATCCAAATAACTCCTTTAGGAGCTCTAACTTGCCTGAACCATTAGATTCAATTCAACAACTGTAAATGAGTTACCAGTGTTTTTATCTTGGCATTTTGAAAATGGCTGGAATACTTTAACTCTGAAACTCGTGTGCTTCATTGGTTAAGTGTGATGGAAGATGAAGTAACCATACTTCTCTTCCCCACCCCTCCCCATTCCATGACACATGCATCACAAGCACTTAAACTAGTGACTTCTAGCTGATTCTTTATCTTCATTCCTGAATGAAGTTCAATATTCTGGACTGTCCTGGAACAGAAACAGGATTCTGCTGAAACAGAAACAGCCCTGCACAGTTAACTCTGCATATTCTATTCAGAAGTGGACTTGTGTTCAGACCTGATGTAGTTTAAGCTCCTGTCTCAACAGCAGTGCAGTGACACAACTGAAGGCACCTAGGAACATGGCCTGAGCCAGCTGCTGCAGCCAATGTGGCCCTTACCAAACAGAGAGCGTAGCAGCAGTGGTGAGAGCCATGATGCAAGAACCTGTGCAATGCAGGGTGGAAATGGGTGTATTCAATATTATAGGAGGAAGAAGGCGACGACCACAAGCTGAAAATACTGACAATGTTCGCTTCTCACAGGCCACAGTTACAATCTCACTGGGAAAAAAAACAAACAAACAAGAAATATTTGCATGCTGTCAAATGCAAGTAGCAAAAAACCAGGCTGAATTCTTAAGCTATCATACAACTCGGATAAATTCCCCCAAAAAATAACTGTTGTAACTTTAAGAAAAAAATTTTGATACCAAGAGGATAAGTCATAAACTAAACAGACCAAGGGGTATTGCTAGAAATATCAGTAAAGCTTTTTGTTATACATAAGCTCTCCATCAAGCCTGTACTTGTATTTAGCTTTAAAATTTGCTGCTCATTTTTCAGACCTAGACAGGGCTCAGGCTTCAGAAATACACTTTCAGTTTAAACTCTGCAGTTGGAACTAGGCAAAATTGAGAAAAATTAAGAGAAAATATAGCAAAAGACTCAGGAAAATACTTTCACCTGACCAAACACACCATTTCAAATTGTTTATTACTTAGTAGTTAGCACTTGAAAGCCTTTCACTTATGGTTTAGTCAACTTTAATGAAGAAATTTAAAGGAGAAATGTAAAAATACAGGAAAACAGTTCTAACTAGCTAATGTGAATTGTGATGCTTTAAGACTGCATAGAGATAATAATTGAAGCCAAACCTGAGACTAAGAGCGGTGCACACTTTTACCCATATTTATTATGAAAAAATAACTGTAAACTGTACTTTTGTACACCTAAAAATGTCTTCTGGCCTTCAGGACCCCCTTCCTCCAGAAGATAATCTCTTACCAGCTTCCTGCTGCAGCGAGGATTCGACTGGTGAGGACTGTCTCCCATTCCTTTCCTTCTCGATTACACTTTAACCTGCTCAACTTTGAGCCTCCCACTGTGGTCATTTCATTCTCCACTTCCAGGTACATTGATGGATCTGAACTTATCTGAAATACAAAAAATAAAATAATTTTTTGGAAGAGGAAAGAAACTACTCAAAAAAGCAGCAACTGAAAAGCAGAACCAAAACAATGCTGTCTTTAAGAACAGATTTAAGTATGGCATTCTCTGTTTACTGTGGCTTCAAGATATACCATGGCACTTCAAAAGAAGCAGACCTCTGAAAATCAGCCTTGTCTAAAACACAAGTAATTTCTTTGTATTTGAAGCACAGCCATAAGGAAAGGCTGTGCTAGTCTGTCTCTGCTTCCTAATTATGGGTACCAGATCAAGTCTGTATGTGCCCAGTCTCCCCACAGTCTTGCAATTGGAACCAGACTACCGCAGCCTGAACACACCTAAAAACTGTCCCATAAATATCTAAAACATTACTATTTGCCAGCCTGTTCAGATGCAGAGCACCTCCATGAGAGAAAAAGCCCTGGTTTTATTCCTCATGGGGTACTCCCAACACCACTGCAGTAACAGTGCTGCAGCCACTCCCCACAGAGACTCTTATCTCCACCACACACTTTGGTAACCAGGAGGAGGGACTGATGAACCAGAGGTATTCACTCCTCTTTGGAGTTTAGCTGGGTCAGAAGAGTCCTATTTTTAGCTGATTTGCCATTATCTTTACTAATACAGACATATTCTTAGAAGCTAAAGTGTTACCATCTTGCTTGCTTGAACAAATACACGCATTCATACGTTAACTCATCAAAGGATGTGAATAACCTTAGGATATTTAAAAGAAAGCAGGATTTTTTTGTTTGTTGTTAAAGTATTAAGTTTTTTTTTTCCTTATAGTTCACTTACTTGCAAAGTAAACGATTTCTGTGGGATTGGGGTTGGCAGTTTAAGTGCTAATGCTGGTGCAGAGATGCAAGCAGCATCCTTCTCAGAGGCCAGTGTAGCTGGGGACTGGAAAAAAATGGCAGAAATAGTTACATTTTTCTATTAAAAAAAGTGAAAATCAAATATATTCTACCAAATAGATTGATTTGAAAAAGAATTTTCTTAAAATTCCAAATAATGCCAATTGCAAATGTTAGTCTTATTCCAATTAGTTGTATGAATACAAGTTTTTTAATATAGCTTCTAAGAATCAAAAGAAAACAAAAATTTGAAGTGGTCTTTTTTTAAAAAAAACCCCTATTTTCAGCTGCAACTAATTAATGAAAATTCTTGTATATTACATGGAAAAATTGAAGCTCTAGATACTGAAAACACAGGTATCTATAAGCCCTAAGATGATGCAAACTCTAAAGCAACTACTTTAGGGCTCTGAGCAAATTCTGACCATTGAAGTCACCGTATCCAAGTAACTTTCTTGTTCTTGGTCCACTCTCCATCATACACCACCAAAAACTGTTGGCATTTGATTTTATTCTATACAGTCATTTGGCAGGCTAGCATTACTTAGCATGCTGGGACCTTTAATAAGTAGCTACATATCTATATAAAAGATAAACACATTTGCCACACTTTGTACCTGCTTTTTCTAAGGTTAATTTCTAAAACCAGTAAGTTTAAAGGCATGGAAGAGGGATGGCTAAAAATTCTGAGGGACTGATACTAATTTGTTTCCCTGAGTTGACGGAACAAATCAACATGAGACTGATTTATTAAATGAACTTCGAAAGCCACAATGAATCTTATATATTTCACCTGAACTGTTAAAGTTACTGGTACAAGTCTGGAGTCTTTTCGAGGCCTTCCTTTTTTCTTCTTTTCTACTGTTTCTCCCTCAAGTTCCAGTTTCCGTTTGGGTACACTGAGCGGTTTAACAGCTGGAATCTTCTCTTCACTGTCACTGCTGCTCTCCAGAATATCCTTGGGCTTATTGTCTTTAATTAAATTCTGATCCTTCAGTCTGTAAGAAAAAAGTCTGTAAAAAAAAGCTGATTCCAAAAGTTGCCATGTATCCTACACATTGTCTTCTTGCAGATAAGATGACATTTCTTAGCCCTCTGAGTGTACTTCAAAATGCACGAAGGCAGGAGGAGGAAGCTGAAGAGGTATGGCAAACCCTTTCCAGAAGTACAATGTACAATATATATGTAAACCAATCAGACATATTCTCCCCTTTAAAAAAAAAATAATCAAACCAGCAGTTAGCAATGGGATAAAGCTGGAAATAGCTTTAGCATTCAGTTCCAGTTACCATCAGATCTCTTTCCCTGAGCTGATACAAATAATTCAGCACTCTAAGATGCAAGAGTAGTTCATCTTTTCCCCTTCAGTGGACATTAGACTTTCCCCTTATCCATGTAGAATGTTTGTCATTCTGTTGTCTACCCCCAGAAGTTGCTCTGTTCAGTTCTGTTCAGTTTTGACTACTGCAAAATGTGTATCTGCAAACCATACACATGACTTCACTGCTCCAGCTTCCATTTCAGGAACCATAACTATGGAATCACAGAATGACTGGAGATAGAAGAGACCTTAAAGACATCTTATTCAAACCCCATGCCATGGGCAGGGACAATTTCCACTAGGCCAGGTTGCTCTAAGCCTCATCCCATCTGGCCTTGAACACTTCCAGGGATGAGACATCAACATTTCTCTGTTCCAGGCAATCTGTTCCAGTGTCTATCACCCTCACAGTAAGGAATTTTTTTTCTAATATCTCACCTAAACCTGCTCTCTTTCAGTTTGAAGCCATTCTCCCTTGTACTGTCACTACATGCCCCTGTGAAAAGTCCCTCTCTAGTTCTTTTGCAGCCCCTTTAGGCACTGGAAGGCTGCAGTAAGATCACCCTGGAGCCTTCTCTTCCGTAGGCTGTACAGTCCCAACTCTCTCAGCCTGTCTTCACAGCAGAGGTTCTCCTGCCCTCCCATCATCTTTGTGGCCTCCTCTGAACTTGCTCCAACAGGTCCATGTCCCTATATATAACTAAATATAATTGATACGAAGTGCAATGCCTGTGAACTCTCTTGTTAACCATTATATAACCATTATACCCTAAAATCAGTCAATCACACTCTTCCCCTTCCTTCCATAGCTTCCTTCAATGGCTGGTTATTAACTTGCCACTTATTCCTTAATTAACTGGCTTCAGAGAAATACCTTGCATAATCCAAACCTTTTTTCTCTGGCATCTGAATTAAGCCAAACAATACACTTTTATCCATATTTCACTGCCACATTAGAAGCAATTATGAGAGTAATTTACTACATCTTGCTTCTGCATCACGTGGTTAAGCTCTCTGACATAAAAATATTGATGTATGAAAATATGTTTTTCTGATAATAAGTGGGGAACTACATACTTTTTTCTCAAGATTGCTATTTTTTTTTATCATTTGTTTTGGTGAAACAGGAATACTTATGCCATAACACTATGTCACAAAACAAAATGCTTTTTTTTTTTAATCACATGGATCCAGAGCCAAAAACCCTTTAAAATTAGAGAATCTTGTCTGCATGCCTTCAAGGCATAAAACTGAAGTATAACTGCAGCTATGATGATAAGAGGTCATCTGTTGACATGTATGGTAATTTATCTTGAAGTAAATCTCTCTTGTACAGAGATGCAGACTGGCTATTTTTGGCTGGTTTTGTCTTCTAAGGAGTCCACCTGAACTCAGTCACACAGGCATGTGCACACACAGCCTCTTACAACAATAGTTTTGACCTGGAATATCTTGAAGAATTTGCTTGATATCAAAATGCCAGGGACAAATGTACAAAGGGGTAACACCAGCACAGAATTTACCTATTTGTAGTTGCCCCCTTCCTTCCAATAGTGGGAAAAGCCCAAGACAACTTCTGGAGTGTCAGCAATGTGACATCTACACTACAGAGAATTAGTGTTTCAACTCTACATCATTACCTTCCTCCCTCCCCAGGCTATGTCCTACCTGTCCACAACAGTCTGATTTGTGTTTGTTACAACAGCAGTCCCTGAGGTGGCTTTGGAGCGTTCTGTGAATCGAGAATCAAATGCTTTCATAGGTTCAATCTTGGATGGAGTTGTCAACACAGAGGAAGACGATGCAGAAGGAGCAGCTGAGGCAGAGGTAGCATTTACACTGCCAAGAAAAGAGACAGCAAAAGAAGGATTGAAAAATTTAGTACTGGTAAGCTACATTGTTCATAACAACTAGCATTCGTAATACTGGCTAGAAACAATGTTGAAAACCTTTCACTCAAGTACATCATCAATTATGATATTCTTTTTCCACTCTTTCTTGCATCAGTGTTTTGCAAGCTTTGCCTATTCTCAAAAGCTGTCTATGATGCACCTCAGAGCTTCATGTGGCCACATTTCTGGATTAAAAGACCCTAATTCATTTATTGTATTTTTTAAATTCAGGAAGAAAATTATACTTTCAGTTGGTACTTATTGGGAAAGGATCACTTTTTAAAATGATCACAGGGATTCTCCGCTTTTACCCCTGGTTCAGGTTATTAAATATTTCCACTATGATATTATATTTCACTGTTTAGCAATCAAACAATTTGAGATGAAACAATTCATGCCAGCTTTAGATTTGGTTGTTGAAAAATCCAACCTGATTATTAGACCTTTCCAAGCAACTCTAGGGCAAAGGAATGTGTTTTCCCCACACTAAAGCATTCCAGGGATCTATTATTTCAATAGCTGTTTACTTTAGGGATTTTTCAATTCATTCAGAGAATGAATTCAGAGAATCAATGGCTCTAAAATAACTGATGCTTGTACTAAAAAGCTACTAGAAGTACAATTTACAAAGAAAAGGATACTTAATAGTTTAATCTGTCAATCATTTCTCATAGTCCACCCACTCATTTTTTAATCTGCGGCCAATTTCAACCGAATTTGATGGAGAAGTAGAGGTTTCAATGACACTGTGCTGCTACAAATGCTATAAAAATAGACTGAGAAGAATTCAGGTCAGTGCTACCACTGAAGGAAAAGCAAGTAAGATTCAGTTGTTCTGTAATTACTTTGAAAGACACGCTGGTCCATCAGCACATGTGCACTAACAAATCAATGTCACTGTGCTCTGATTTGTTATACAGATGTTGTAGTACAGGAAAGAAGGATCACCATGTCTGAAGAGAGGACACAGGTCAAAATTTGATGTAAAGTAGGTTTCATTATTTACATTACTGGAACACCTTCTATTGTTTACTAATGGCAACCCACCAACCCGTAAGTCATTTTGATCAGCAATCAGCTTCATTGCACTGAAGTTCACTGCCAGAACTATGCACATGGATTTATTCATTCCTGATTTATCAAAATTTAAATTAACCAAACACTAATAAAATGTCAATGTTTTCAGGAAGGTTAGATTCTTGGGGTTTTTCAGTAAGGAAACCACTCTAATAATTTCTTCATTTTAAAATGATAAACAAGAGTTAAAAACTAAATAGACTCATGTAAGTGAAAAACAAAACAGCAAATACTGACCCATCTTTATTGGCTGCATCATCTGTTGGTTTTATACTGGCTGCTGTTGGCTCTACAGAAGGCTTTGAAGTATTAAGGGAATTTGCTGCGTTAGAATCTAGTGACATGAGCTGCTGGTTACTTTGAGAAGACATCATTGAGCCAGACAGAGTTCCAGATATTGGGATGCTATTGAAAAATGCTGTAGAAAAATCCCTAAACAAAAAAGACAAATGACAAATACATTTCTCAAAACCACTTTGAAGATAATTCAAAAATAGTAATTTTAGCTTTATTTATTCCATTCTTCCTTTTTATGTATATGGATACTCATGTACAACCTAAATAAATCCCTAGTACCTTTCCAGAGTAATTTCTCATGTCCAAAGGACATTAAAGCTGCTACTAATATAGATATGAATCAATAATACATTAGAGCATTGCTCATCTATAGCAGTAAATAATGAGAATTAGCCTGATCTATTAGAAGTGAGATCTTATGGCCAAAGAACACTGGTTGAAACTGTATTTTATAAGAATACACATTAATTTCCAATAAGTGCTTTACGATGCCCTAAGACAGAATGGCAAGTTTGGAAAAGGGAAAAAACAAACAAACAAAAAGGTAAAGAAAGATTCTAAAGATTACTTCCAAACATACCCAGTATCCAGTTGAGCTATGCAGAGAGGTGTGATCCTTCTCCGACCATCTGCTGTTCGCGTTTCAACTTGTTTTTTTAAGAGATTCTGTTGGGAAATACATTTTATCACAATTTCTGATAAATGGGAAATGCTATTTTGTTTTTTTTTCAAACTGACAAAAATAGATATATTAGAAGAGGTGCCTCAATTAAAAATCAGTTAGCAAAGACTTTCTCCCATAAACACAAACATTTCCAATTTTCAATCTATCCATTTGTAGAAAAGGCATTTGTGGAGAATGTAATCTGCTGTCCACTTTAGAATCAAGTCTAAAATATCAAATATTTTGTGCATATCAAATCTTTAATTAAAAAGTTGTGTTCTATGTTTAGGACAAAATTAAATAATGCTTTCAACTTCTATCAGTGAGAAACTGAAACAGCTTCTCTGTCATTAATTACTCTTGGTTTCCTTTCTGCACACCAAGAATTTTGCATCCATCACAGAAATATCCACAAGTTTGCTTCCACATAGCCTTACTTCTGCTTAAAAGCATTTAACTTTTAACAAGTCCCAGTAAATGACTCACTAAGTTGATCAGCTGGGCCATACACAGGCTGAAAGGTGCCATTCAACACAAATAAGGGCACAGAAACTGATTCTTTCCTAACAATTTGGTATTTAGTGACTCAGTATTTGACAGTGTCCATGAGCTCCTACCTTTCTGATGTCCTCCAGACTTTCCCCATTAACCATGCTTGCCACTTTGGGAGCTGTGGCATTCCCAGAACCTTCCCGAATTGATGAGTTCTTCTGATCCCCCTGCTGCTGCTGTCTCTGCTGGTACTTGAGCATCTCTGGATTCTCAATAATGGTGGTGGACAACTGAGCTTCAGTCATGATAGCCAGACTTTTGCCATAGGTGGACTGGTGAATGTTGCTCTGTGGGCATTAAAGATGTGAGTGACTACAAGTGCTACCACGACATCACTACTTGTAATACAAGGGAATCCCACAAATCCAAAGGAATCCATAAAATGCCCTCTGTACCATTTATATACCAGATTTTTTTTCTTTGTGTTTTCAACTAACACTAAATCAATATGAAAAATAAGTGAAATACAAAGCTCTAGTTGCTAATAGCAATGAGAGGAAAAACAGCCAAGAGCAATCAGTTTAAAAAGACTTGCATATATGCAAGTGAAAGAGTAATTTTGTAGTGTTTTGAAGCACCCACTTCTTGTTTCCGTGGCCAAATACTTACTTCAGATGTACAATGATGCATAGTGGATATTTTCCAAATTCTTTCTTTCCAGAACAGAAACTAATAGCAGGAATTCACTTCTTGACTACTCTTTTTTAATGGTTTGTAAAGCAGACAAGAACACATTTTCTATAATATGGAAATCAGTTACTACATAGTTCTATAAACAGACCAGTATTTTAATTGAATCAATACATCCCTGAAATATGATCAAAGATTCTCTGAATGCTTACTGTACCTTTTCCTCCTCACTGAGTGGATCCCCAAGTTCATCCTGGGAAAAGTCCAAAAATGCCACTGATCCATCCATGGAACACACCAGGATACCAAGTCCATTAAGAGTCCTGACAGAAATAAAGGTCAGACTCTGTAATCTCTTTCACTCATGCAAAGTAGCAATCTGATGGATTGTTCAATAAAAATCTCAGTTTAAGATTTACCATCACAGCAATAACTCATGGAACTAAAGAAGTGGGACAGTGAGGAGACAGGATGACAGGCAGCAGAGTCCCTGTGCCAATGCTGCTTTGTAGACTGCACAAGGACGGTGGCACTGGGACAATACAACTGCCCATGGCATGAGCAGCACCAAACCAGAATAGTGTTCACAATGAACACTGAGAGAAAATTATAAATGCATTTTCTTCAATAGATGAACAAAATTTTTGTGCTAATAGAAGTGGGTGAAGAAAGGGCCCCTCAGCTGACAAGCAAGCCAAAAATCTTGGTACTTAATCACAGGTTTGATTTTGTTGTTGTTCATCGTTTGGGTTTTTAAGCAAACTGCACATGTGATCATTCATGGAGATACATAGTAACCTTGTTCTGGAGGTCAAGTTTCCTTAGCAAAAAGAGAGAGGAGAAGCTATTCCTTCTATCTTAATACAATTATAATCTTGCATTAGTAACCTATTACTGCACATTTGAAAAAATACTTGATGAATTTTGACTTCTACCCCAGACACTTTCAAGTACAGAGCTCACACAGACAGTGACACAGTAGCTTACAGATTAATTGTTACACAGAAGGGAAGAGGAGAGGAAAGCTGGCACAGCTCCAAAGTCCTGACCAAGTTATTAAAAATCTATTACAAGTGCCACATATATAGGCATTCAGAAACGCCTATTTTTGTGGCAGCTGGCACCCTGATAGCATCACACCCAGAGAAATCAGCCTCAACACCATGAAACAAGGTACACCAACAGAACTCCAAGTTAGAAAACAGTAAAATCATGTTGAGAGTTTTCTGTTTGCTTAACAGAGAAAATTGCTGAGCTCCTATTGACCTCTGGATCCAAGCAATTGTTCCATGAAAACATAATCATTCGTAGATATTATGTTGATGGATCCAAGTCTAAAATTCTAAACCAGAAATTATACAGATATAACAATATAACAATAATAGTGTCAGGTTTCTGAGAATTTACTCAGTCTGTTTTCAGAATAGAGCACGTTTCTGGGAACACTCCATATTATTGACATTTTAGCCATCAATTTGTAGACAGGATATAAAATATCAAGCTGCCTGATGATCCTTTGTCTCTCAAATATCCCACAAAACCATTCCCTCAGAAGCTGCAAAATGCTAACCAGCTATTACGCCCAATGACTTCATGCCACGAAAAATGTGCAAATTGCAGATGGAGAAATAAAAAACACTACAGGAAAACTAAACTATTCAAAGCTATTGTACTATAACAATAGCAGCACTTCTCATGAAATATTCCACTTGTTGGCTTTCTAGACTTAATCTGTTAATGAAAGAAAAATGTTTCGGTTTTGAAAACTTTTTATTGTAGGTCAATGAGCTTCATGGCAAAATCTACATGACACATAGAAACTAGGAAGTTACACAGTTTTAAGCTTTAAAATTCACAGTATAAACCCACCAAGACATTGTAACTATTAAGGGAGAATTTCAAATGTGAGGCAGTGATAGAATTAAGACAACCTGTGTCAGAGAATCATAACAAGTAGGAACTCATTCCTATTTTACTGTGTCTTGTTCTAAATACATTACCATTTGTTCAGTTAATAATCTCAAGTGACCACGTGCTAGTTGCTCATATTGCTACCAAAGATGCAGCAGCAACAGGCATTTAAGACATTTACAGCTAATAAGTACACCTAAAGTGGATAACAATGCTTTGGCTTCCACAACAAACAGCAGAAATCAACTTACCAGGAGATGTCCATGATTGACTTGTCAAACAGCTCATGTATGACAACTAAAGGTCGCTTCAGACATGTAAGCTTAAGAAAACAAGAAACAACACTCAGAAATGCAGAAGTTCTACACCGCCACAGACAGTACCACATTAACATTCTCCCAGAGCCTCACAATATGCACCAAACAAGATCTGGCCAGGAAACAGCTGCATGCTTGGTGGTATATCTGAAGCACCAAGTCACCTGTTCCACTGCTGGGACAGAAAAGCTCTGGAGAAGAACAGCTGACATTCAACTCTCCTTTCTGAATTTCTTAATCAACTTTGCCTTTACACCATAGTCAAAAAACACCCTCTGCCACTCCAAAAGCAATTCCACAGATGCAAAAGACAGCTTCTATTCTAAGCTGTACTGAGATAAGGATGCTGCAAACTGCCAGCACAAGAAGACAGAAAACAGATTAGGTTTCCATGTCCTCACTCGGACTACTTGTCTGAGAAAGTGAAACCTATCAAGAGCACTGGACTCACAATTACTCTTAAAGAAGATTCCTCTGCACTTAAGAATCAGCTTAGCAATAAAGACCTGAATATGAAGACTCCAATAACCTGCTCTAAATAAGACATTCTAAGCTCTTTAATGTCAAACCAATAGGCTTCATATCTCTAGTGTATAGTACAACTGAAATGAAGCAGAGGTTGATATGGTCAAGGAAGTTTTATGCTCACAGGTTCACAGATGCAGTGTCACTGTCATCTCCAGTAGTTATTTATGCTTCCATAGGTCTGTGCTCTATATATGTTTATTAAGCTCCTCAGGGCAAAGATAACCTATAACTTTGCATCTCTGTACTACCTTCTGTCAACTCAACAGCCACCTCTAATGAAACCTTCATAATATAAATAGAAATGATAGAGTGATACTTTGATATGGGTATGCACTGGTAGCCATTACCAGAAACAGATTTAGTTAAGCATCCAGAGATTGATGGATAAATATCACACTGGAATCTATAAATAGTAGACTGCAGTTAGCAATTTGTGTGTTCTGGCACAAGTTCTCATCACAAAGCTTTAAGCATATTTTTTTTGCATTTAAAAATGTGAAAATAGTTACTCTTCTCTTAGGCAGAATAAAAATTTTAGTGCAAATTTTAAAGTAAAACCCGAATTAGATCCCAAAACTTGAAAGAATATTTAAAAAGCTCATTCACTTCCATATCCCTTTCATTTACAAAGGCAGAAGACAAGTAAAAGGCAGAAAATAATGTTGCATTTATGAACTGTGATAAAATGTTTTATCCCCTAACAGCTGCTCCCCCTTATCAGGGCATACTCTGCCACTGGATTCTAACTGCTCTTGCCTTTACAGAAATGAACTAATACCAATCCACTTCCTTCTTCCCCAGCTAAACCTGACAGAGACATACCCTAAATATGAAACTAAATACGAGACCTAATGCTGTACACATGACCTTTGTGCCAGACTCCCAAGTTATCATATGCACACAGTAGCTCAAAGGCAGCAAAGAAACCACTTACCCAGACAGAAAGAGATCGATCCTTGCTACCGACAGCACAACAGCAGTAGGGACAACTTGACTTGGTGGAGCTCCCATTCTTTTGTTTCTTTTTGAAGATTTTTGGATTGAATTTCTGAACAAATGAGATACCCAAATTTTATCACAGTAATTACATTTTAGCAGGAGATCTGCTTTCAAAGCAAATTTTCCACTTTAGAGTGAAAAAGCAACATTTCATAAAAATAAAGTCCAGAACCAGACTCTATAAGAACGCTGACAAAAGCTGCAGAGGCTTTCTTAAGGGGCTTTCTGAATTGCCTTCATAGGAAAGGAAAACAATATTAATTTCACTAGGGATCAGAAACCCACTAGAAACCTAAATCATTTTAATCAAGTCACTGAACAGCCAACAAAGCTGATGTTTGACATTCCTAACATGCTCCTCTATTCCCCCTTGTCTTGTTCATCTACAGCCACTTCTCTTATCACAAGAGCGACCTAATTGCTTCCAACATGTAAAGCTGACATTTCTTAATCACCACCATTCATTTGGGTTACTAATCTTGACACCAATCTTCACCCCTTCTCCCATTTATACATAAAATTGTCAAAAAACACATACAAGTTTTAACTTCAGGGATAAATTACTATCACTCACTCACCACTACTGTAACTGCCTTCCGATGCCCTACAAAATCCATGTTGGTTTTCCATCCATCCCTCTCAATGATCTGAGCAGTGGGTCCAGAATTATTCATGGCATGAGCAGAAACAAGATAGTGACCATCAGGTGACCAGCTAAGGCGCAACACATGAGTCGTCCCTCCACACTGCCAAAAAAAACCCAACATACCAGAGCTTTAAAAGTGTTTGGCAAACAAAGGGGTTATAATACAAACTATTTATATTTCAGATTCAGGGAATACGATTACAAAGTAAGTTTCCTGTGAATATAAAACAATTACCTCACATACAATTCTCAGCACTTGGCCATGTTTACACAGGTGATGCAATGTAACTTAAGAAACCCCATGAAAAGGGGGAAAGGAACTCAGAGAACTTTTTCAAAGGAAACACAAATGTTACATGTTTTTTGATACTGTTTCCTCAGTATTTATCACAGCCCTAGTTAGTAACACGGATGCAACACAGCAACCACTAACTACGAGACTTCCAGCTTGCCACGCCAGCTCCCACATGAATTGAAGCAGATAAGGTCTTCACAAAGAGCAATTGCACTAATCACAACACCCTCAGATCACTGCAGAATACTCCACTTACCAAGCACCAGTTTCTGTCCCCAGAAACTTGATCTCTTCATCAAAGTCATCACCTAACAGCCCTATGATGCCAGACCAAAGATCCCACCTTGCATGTACTTACCTCATTTCTGACAGGGGCCAACAGAAGATGCATAGGGAAGAATGTCAGACTAATGTGAACAGAGTGCCAACACTTCCCTAGAATAACTACTATATTTCCAGAAGTTTACTTGTTTACATAACCCATGAAAACCTTTGACATCCACAACAACAAATGGCAGTAAGAGTCTCTAGTCAATCTTATTTTTATGAGAAAGTAATTATTTTTTCCCTCTTCTGAAGCTGCTGAGAGCTTCACTTGATTCAGCACTGTCCAATTAATTCATGTTTGTGTACAATCAGAATTATTTTTCTAGTTTTCATTCATCCTAAGGGAATTCACTTTGAACAGTCATACATTCTGAAGTACCTCATCAAAAGGTTTTGTGATGCTGGTTTCCAGCTGCCAGTCCATGGTCCGCCACACCTTTAAACTTCGATCGTCAGCCTGAGAGGCAATGTATTTTCCAACAGGATCCCAGGTCAGCCCTTTCACCAAGCCAGAATGCCCTTTCAAAGTGGCAAGAATTTCTGTGCACACAAAAATTGAGAATACAGAGTAAGTAATTACAAAATTTACATCTTTTTGAAACACCGTATTAAGTATGACCTCCATTAGTGTAGAAACAACGTATCAACCGAATTGGAACCTGTACTTAAGAAAAAACTGATATAAAAAAGTGGTAAGGAGAATTCTAGCCAGAATAAGAGGTGCAAGACTCTTTAGAAGACAGGTCAGAGCAGGAAGAACAGCAGAGTCCCAGCACTTCAGAGTAGCACTTTGATACTGTGGAAAGCAGCACTTGAACTGGAATTTCAGTTAAACTTTCCTCCACACCCAGAGATTATCACAAGTAATCCAGCTTTGTGCAGCAAGTGTGAACCAAGTCAAAGCTGTGACTCAACAGACACACTAAGGTGGCAGACCTGGTAACCTACTTTCAGTCACACTCTTGCTTATCAGCCTGTGGGAGGAGAGGTTGAGAGGGTGCACAATTGGCTTCAAAGTCTAAAACCTCTGGTATCAGTATAGAAAGCCAGCTTAAAATAAATGGCATGTAAATAAACACATGCAATCATGATTTTCATGTAAAATCAGCAGCACAACCCGAATGCAGCTGTCTGCAGCACTGTGGAATCCCCTGTTCACTGCCTTCCAAACCTGGAAGAAGGACTGACCTGCCAAGTTTGAGCATCAGGTGTGGCACCTCAAAAGACAGACAACCCATGCTCTCCTAGAGATTTGAAGAGTCAGTGAAATACACCCAAGGACGGAAGACTTTGTCACAGAGCTTTACATGCTGGCACATCTTTAGAGATCTCACCTGGGAATTTGACAGCATTCCAGATGACAACAGTGTTATCAACACTACAGGACGCCAGCCAGGCATCATGTGGAGACCATGCTACATCCATCACATCTGTTTGGGAAAAGGAAGTTTCCATTTAAGAGATTGATGGTGATCAGAAAATCAAAAAGTCTTTTTACAAAGAACTTGTGTTCTCTGTAGCAGTATTTTGCTATCACTGAGAAATGATTAGCACCTCACTAAAGTCAAAGAAAGCAACACTCATTGGAAGTGAGACTCCTCAACTTCCAGTGCTCAAAAATGGGGGCCAAGAAACAAAAAAAAAAAAAAACCAAAAGGGAAAGAATGCAATATTTGGTGATTGTAGGAAGTACTAATGCCTGCACAAAGAACTTGCTCTGAATGAAAGAGGAACAGAAGCTATTACAATGCACTCACTTTGTTCCAACACATGTGGAGTGATCAAAGTGATTTCCATCTTCATTTTAATCACAGCTCATGTCAGCAGATGCAAAATGCATTTGAAATTATTTATTTATTCAACTTTTGCATTGCTCTTTAGATATTTTTCTTCTAAACAAGCATTGATATTCTGTGGTTTACAAAACCATGGTCTTTTGCCAATCAGAGTATTCACTGCTAGTGTGAACATTTAAGTAAAGATACAGTTCAGCTTCCTTTATTCAGGTTCATCTCTAAGCTAGAAAATAGCAAAATATAAGTTTCTTATTTATTAATTTTTTTGTCCTATATACCACACTTGCCACTCATATGAAAATTGCATTTCATTAAAAATGATATTTTTTAAATTTTCACTGTTGCTCTTAAAATTAATTACCGACTTGTCACCAAATATATATTTCAAACAAGAAAACACGATGCTGAAAAGCAATTTTTTTCAAAATATATGTAAATTATGTTCATACAACGCCTTCAAACTTACCCCCTGAATGGCTCCTGAGAATGGACACACACCTCCACTGCTCAACATTAGTAAGTTTGCTACTAGAACCAAACACAGTGCTAGGTCCAATGTACCTAATTAAAATTGGAACAGTTATAAAAAGAACCACCACAAGCTCCTCACTTTTTTCAAAGAAAACCAGCTGCACAGTACACTTCTATTTTATAGTCAGTTATTCCTACAATACGGAGGGGAAAAAACCCACATTTTTTAGAGAGAACAATTCCAGTTATAAAAAAATCAGTTTCAGTAAAATGTAGAATTTCTGTAGATAGCCTAAAATGGTAACATTTAAGGTGACTTTTCAAATCTCACCAGGAAGCTTCCTTCAAGGACAGAAGAAAATGTCTCAGCTCCTCCAGAGGAGAGAGACTGCCCAGGCAGACACCCTCCAGCCCAAAGGACAGCACGCCACATCTCCAACACCAGCGCTTTGGTGTCCCAGCTTTTGGCTCTTTACACACCAGGTGGAGCACTGAGCTTACCAAAGGCCAGCACAGGGAGGAAGCACTGAGATGTCACAGAGTAACTGACTTGAAATGAAATGGGAAGCTCAAGGAAGAAACATGCTTACGCAGCTCGTTTCCACACCATAATCAACTTGTCATCTCCCCCCGAAGCCAAGTAAACTCCATTGTTTGACCATCGCACACAGTTCACACAAGCTGAAACGTAGAAAAGAAAGTTTGCAAGATGAAATATGTGAATAAGTAGTTCTGGACTGCAGACAGGATTTATAATACTAATAAGCAAAACTTGACAGGAGACGTTTAGGATTTAAGTGGGCTTTTTCCACTCAAAGCAGTTATTCTGTCTGCTTTAGATAAATGAATTGGTACTTATCTTTCAGTAGCAGTTGAGGAATTTCTTACTTAAAAAAACCTATTCCTTATCTAAAAAAGCTTCACCAAAAGAGGCTTGAAGGAAAAAAGATTAATGTTCCTCTAATGAAGGAAACTTATTCTGGTAAATAAAGAGGGATTAAGAGGGCAAAGAAGGAAAGGTATATTTTGAAGAAAAGGGACAGCTCGTCAGGTGACCCTACTAATTCCAAATGCAATGATTAATAATGTAATAAATGTAATAATTTGTAACTATAACCAATATACTGCAGATGATATATTTTTTACACTTCTTCTCCTGTCCTTTCCTTCAGAGCTTCCCAGTTTCTTAGGATGTTCATTATCAAGTACTTTAGGGCCACAGCTGAAAAAAGCTTATGGGGGAAATTTTTCAAAGGTATCTATAGTCCTCTGCATATTTCCTCACATTTTAACATTTTCTGCTGAATATCTTGAAAAGTATGCAGCTGAAGTATGAGACCACTCTGCTGTGTTTTATTGATTTTTGCAATTACAGACATGTAAGTCTTAAGCTTTGGCAAACTACCAATATTGAGTAACGAAAAAACCCAACCAACCAACTTTGTTACCTAAGTGATTGTCCATCTGACAAAGCATCTTGGGGATATTTTCATTCTTTTCATCTTCCTCTTTAAGGACTGGAGCCATATTCCAGATCACAACTTTGCCAGAATCCTGACCTGTAAGTGACCAAAAAGCACCCCCTTCTAAATACATGCAAAATAGCTTTTCAAAATAATCTCAGTTCCAGAACAGATGTGAAAATGTAGGCATTACTGCACTGGGGACTTTGGAAACATCTGATTACAGATGTAATCAGATTTGATATAATCAGAATTGATATAATTAGACCAATTCAGAAGTGCTTTATTTTTGAAGCTATTAAAAATAAATTTATATAGCCTTGTACAAAAGTCATACTGTACATAACTGATACGCACAGTAAGGACAACTGCTTGTAATAAAATTGTATTTTTATAGAGAAAAGATACATATTCAAATACTAAATTTCAATTATTGTAGCCAACATAAAATTATTCACTACTGTGAACCATATTATATTTTTGCATATATTTCTTAAGCTTTTCTATTTATATAACTGGATTTTCCTGTCCCAATAGTTCTACTATTTAGCAACTGAAAAAGCTCAACTGCACATCCAGTTCCTCTTCAAATTCAAAGGAAATTTGGCCCATATGGCCATGACTCAATCACTGATAGCAGCTACTATCTCAATGCTGTGCAAGGGGATGAAGATGTCAGAACATGTAACTCTGCCTTCTGCAGGAGCAGCAGCACTTCTCAATACATTAAATAGCTTACATAAGTACCTGTTTCTTAGAGATAAAAGTGATTTTTATTAAAAGGGTCAAACCAATTCAAGTCCTGTGAAGGCACAAGGTGGTTATTATTATTATTATTATTATTATTATTATTATTATTATTATTATTATTATTATTATTATTATTATCATTACCCAAAATTCTGTCTTCTATCAGTACACAGACTTACCTTGTCCTCCTGTTGCAAACTTGGTCCCATCTGGGTGAATGTCCACTGAAAATATTGGCTTTCCTGGAATTAGAGAACAAGCAGCAACATACTGAATTGTTTTATATTCAAGGGAATGCAGTAATGCCAGAACCACCATAACTCTTCTGGCTGGCAAGTGACTTTTTTCTTCTAATGGCTCGAGTTGTAAGAATTACAGCTGACTACAAGAGCTGAGAGCAGCTTGCTGACAGAAATGGCAGCCTATTAAAAGCCTATATGATGTTATATGAAGTTATCATGCCACAAAAAGCAGCGATAACCAGGGACACTTAATCCAGCAGGATATGCCAAATACCTCAAAGCAAAGTAATACCACAAAGCAAGTGCCAACAAGGCAAAACGGTATTTGAGTATGGAATTTCTTCAAGGTTTCTACATTCATTAGCTGATGACCTGAAGCAAGTCTTGTTTGGGCTTCTGTTTTTTAAAAATCTTTCCCAGTTTCAAGCTGGATCTGTTGGTCACATAATTACCTATCTCAAATTTCAATTCTCTTAATGAAACTCTTCTACCCAAAAACTAATTTTGATTTTATGGCTTCCATATAGAAAGAGGAGGACTAACCAACAACAGCATTACTCTTAAATCCTTCAATTCTCCATATGCTACATCTTTCAGAAGAAAGCTAATAATTTTACTAGAATGTAAACTCTGTAACAAATACCACAGCTGGAGAACAGCTTTGGAAACCAGACAGCCCACACTTCCAACCTGTTCTGCTCCAACCACTGGCTCATATTCACTCTCTCTATGTTCACAGTTGTTTTAACCTTTGCAGAGGAAAAGGAAGAGGGGAGCAGCAAGCTTCCTGCCTTTCAGAGATGCTCAAAGAGCTACCACTAAGGATTATTTGAAAGAACATGCATGCAATTTCCACATCCAAAGAATTTCTGGCAGCACTTCCAATCCTTTCAAACTGGAATGCCTCTGCAAGCAAGAATCACATATATGCCACTATAAAATAAGGCAATTTATCAAACATTCAGAAGTACCAGTACCCACACACCAAGACTGCTTGATAAACTTCCCATGAGTGTCAATCTTGTGCTGTATATTCATGAGATGTTAAGACATAAATGATAAAACCTGGAGATCTTATCTAACAGCACATTTTATGTCTAACTGTAGCAACTGAAATCTTGACACTAAACTCCTAATAAAATCCTCATCCAAATACCCACTATTTCTTACTATTTGAGGGATACACATTCAGCTCCATTTCGACTTTTGTATCCTTTATGTTGATTTGTTTTAAGGTTTGTTTTATTTGGATTTATATTGCAACTCTGACATGTGATTTCTCTTAAAATTTTTACAGGCAGCCAAGCAAAGACCTTAAGCACAGAAAGATGGCACTCAACTTACATTCCTTCCAAGTCCTTCAGACCACATAGCACACATGAGCTGAGACACACATGAGCTGTGGTTTTACTTCAGCTTGTTGTGCCTGAGTCTCGCTTTTATTCTGTTAACTCAAATGCAACATTCAGGGTTAAGCTGAATATTTAGAGAAGCACAAACAAGAAAAAAAACATTTATTTTTCCCTTTCCAAAATGTAGAAGTTCCCTTAAATTAAACCAGTGCATCATTTGAAATAGTTGAGCCCACTGAAACTTACTGAAAAGGCCACTCTGGAGACCTTAGAGATGGAAGAGGTGACCTTTTCAATCTGCATCAAGACTTGGGCAAGAAGAGCTCATATACTCTGGTATTTGCCATTAGATGTGTCAGGAAGTATAGGAAGCCAGCTATCAAAGACCTTTGAATTCCAAGAACCTGGCTCATTATGCCTCTGTATCATTCATACCAAGAGAAAACTTTCCCAGCAAATCAGAAAGAACTTAGCCACCTCTACCATTACTGTTCAGGCAAAGCAAATACGCTGCACATTCCAAAAAGTTGTCATTGCACTCACTGTTTTGCAAAAATTACTGACCTGATATAATTTTCCTTTACTACATGTTATAAACTACCACAGCCTCTCCAATTTCTGCATTAAGAGCACAATTCTACAGAAGCAGTAACATCAGCTCTTTCCCTTCTCCTGGGCAAAGATTTTTCACAGATCCACATACGGGGTTGAAAAAACTCAGCAAATTACTTTGCTTAGAGAGCCAGAGGTAACTAGGCTACAAATTCATCATAAAAGCTTAAAATTAGCCACAACAAGGAAAATGGCCACCAAGCCCAGTAGTCTGTGTTCAGAAACTAGCTCTAGATAAGTCCCTAGGGATCTGTACAATGGTAAGCACACAATGTTTCTTCCTAAAATAATCTTCCAACTCCAAAGAAATTACAGTTCTGACTTCTTGAATCAGGGGCCCTCAATGGACTTTCTTCTATAAATTCAAGCAGCCATTTCTCAGATCCATAATTACCTTCAACATCCCCTACAGAAAGAGATCCACGGTTCAGCCACAAACTCTGTGAGGAACCTCCTACTCCATGGATCTGCACCAGTTATTTGCTACTTTAATGCAATTAATCCTTGTACAGAAGGGCAGTGAACGAAAATCACTCAACACTGATCCGTTTTCCACCGCTCACAACTGTGTTCATCACATTCCCAGCCCAATGATCCCACTCCTTGCCTAAATAGTCCTTACTCTACTCATTAGTTCTTTGTACAAAGGGTGTCTCACACTTCTGATCATTCTGGTCACTCCAAGCCACTTTCAGTTCTCCTCTGTTTCGTGACATGAATGGGAACTGGCATTGAAGGCCATGGGTTCAAACATAAACTCTCCATATATTTATATTGCAGGATAAAATTTTATTTTTAGGCTTTTCCTAGCATAAATTTGGAGTTCAATCAAATAAGCACTGAGCAGATCTTCATAAATGGTTATAATCCTAAAAACTCAGACCTCAGTTAAAGTTGCCAGGTCACAGGGCATTATTTTATCTGTGAAGTTTAAAGAGGGTATGGACTTTGCACTCAGGAAAGGCAGCAGTAATAAATGAAGTGCTGGACATGTTTCCTACATGGCTCAACTGTGATCCAAGAAGGGATCTTATTCCACAGGTAACTAATGATACACAATGATCTGCCCAGTACTTAATGTCCAATTACTAATTTTAAAAAAAAAAACCAAAAAAACCCCAAAAACCCAAAAGGAGCAGATGAAGTGATCACAGGACAGAAATTCAGCATGACAAAGTCATTGCCAGGGTGCTCTTTCCTCCAGGGTACCACAATCAAGAGAATGCCATCTACAGTGCTGGATAACTGTAACAGGTTAAAGCTATGAGACTTGTTCCATACTATTTGGGGTTTACAAATTGAGCACAGATACTGGGATTTTCTTCACTTCCTCCAATTTCTCAAAATAATGAAGAAGGAGCCATTATTTGATAGCAATCACCTTCTTCCCCAGGTTCATGTCTTTATCAGATTATGTTGTTAGTTCCTCTGAAACACACCAAAAGGCACAAGGTCCCTGCTTCAAAGCGACTGAAGCTTTCCCATGTTTCTAATTGGAGATGGGTTGAGTTTCCCAACAGTAAAAATGAACTAAAACAAACTGTGATATTTAAACAGCAACACTAAAATCTAACACAATGTGTTTTAAGACATTCTGACCTCTTGAAATAATTTCTAAAAAAAGATAAGCTTAAATTATTGAAGCTCCCAGAATCACATTGCAGGAGGAGGCAAACCAGGTTCATTAAATACAGAACACCTTATGATATACCAGATGTCCTGTGGGCTTATTTGTTTAAAGAACCCAAATATACATTATGTACTTAAAGAAATACTGATAATGAAACAAGCTTGGAACAAAAAGACCTAAGTAAGAAAACCCAACTTTTGTCTTTTTAAAAAAAGTACACCAGTGAAGAATAAAAGCTATTTTAAATTTTTGTTTGTTATTTAACTTTATACAATAGTCAATGAAATGTAAAAACAGTTTTAGGTGAATTTCTACCTCAAAATCAGTGAATTTCTATTCAATTTGCTTCCAGCCCACCTAATATATAAGAGTCAATGTGACTCACAAATCAATTCAAATATTTACATTCCACCATTACAGTTTGGAGAGATAAACTCCGTGCCTATATTTAAACAACAGCAGGCTCCAGTTTCCACAAGCTGTTATACATGAGCAGCACCTTGGGGCTTGCAAGGGTTTCTTGGAACAGCAAGGGACTTCCTTTCCCACAGGGATCAGTGTTTGCCTGCATGAGTTGTCTTCAAGCACCTGGGCTCTCAAAACCCTCTCTGAGTGATGAGTATGTACAGGCAGCTGCTGGGTGCATGATGCATGTCTACAGAGGTACTGAATGCAAGACTGGGAAGGAGAAGCCAATCACACCACTTGTATCTTACAGTCATCTGTTCCTGCCCCCACCATTAGACTGCACTTTTGAATATTCTTCCTTGCTCTAAGTTAAAGCCACATGGAAGAGAAGAACACAACAATAATGAGAATTTAATGTAAAATCTAATAAACCCACATTAAGTGCATGAAAAGCTTATAGAAAATGCATCTGAGCAAGAAATAATTCCAATAAGCACTCAGAAAAAGCGACATTAAGAACTCCATTGCAAAAACTTGGAGAGAAATATGCTGAACTGCTTTTACCAGAAGTGCGTGGCACCTCGGCTGTGCAGCACACAATTCCCAGGTGTGCTGGATTTCCTGGCTACAACACTCACTTCTAGTGCCTATTATCTCCTGGAGAATGTATGCCTGGAAGCATCATTCTAGTCCATTCAGTAAAACAAAACTCCCAAAACTGAGTGGGAAGAGGAAAAGGCTGAAATGACAGCAGCTGGATCTGGTGTGTAGAAGAGCCAGCCCTGCTATCAGGACTCACTCACTAATGAGAACAGTGAGGCAGCCCCGTCTGCCTGAGCAGAAATCCAAGGAATAAGAATTATCACAGAGTCTCCAGCACACACAGTGTAAATTCTCTTCACCCTGTTTCTAGAGAAGTTTCAGAGCCAAGAGGGAGCCCCATTAGGAGTGATGGAGACTCCTCACATGCAGCAATGCCTGGAGGATCCGGAACCCAGGTACGTTAGAGGAGGCTGACTAAACTCACCGGTTTTTATCCTGCACTCCCTGCCCCTAGGACAGGAATGTGTGATTGTCACACAGTCCTGCACACCTTTTCAGCCCTGACAGCAGCTCACAAATGGAGCTGCTGGTAAATGTCTATTTTGCAGGTGGCAAAATTATGACGAAGTACCTTGGTCAAACTCATCCCAAGAGGTCAGCAGCAGAAATGGTAGTAAAATTCAGGACTATCAAGGCCCTGTGCAGTGCATTATCCATTATCACAGGGCTCTATAAATGAAGCCCTGTTTGGCTGAAGCCTGTGTTCTAAATTGCTGCAGATGGTTGGATGTGTTCTAAATTGCTACAGATTTCAAATACATACCCATACCAAGTTACAGATCTAATCTCTGTGATCTCCAAGGACTTAGGCTGAAAGTTTTTATTCAGCTGCTCCTGTGCTCCCACTGAAGATACACAGAGGCACAGGACAGCCTGATCACAGGCAGCCAGAGATTAAGATGTAAATGCTACATTTGTTTAGAGTAACCAAGCAGAAGTGTAAAAAAAACCATCTCAAATAAAGCACTTCCACATTTTTTTTCAGTTCACTACAACCTTTGTTTACAAGGCTGAGTCCATCTGCTGCCTATAGAGTCCCTGGAGAGCAGGCCAAGTAAAGATGCACATGAATGGCAACTTGAGGCTTAAGTTGTTATCAAAATCTGCAGCATGAACACAGAGAATACAACACATGCACAAAAGCAGCTGTAAAGTTGTACCTGTGGTTTTTAACTCAAAGAGTGCTTTTCCAGCTTGAATAACCTGGTCTTAGTTTTATTCTAGATACCAATCAGCTACATGAGCCCAGCTAATGACATTTATACATTGACAGAGTATAAAATTTGCACATGAAATAAAGTTGTACCCATGAATCTGCGGGCAAAACTTGCACAAACAGAAGTGAACTCTTTGTGTTAGGTTTCTTCTCACTGCTTCACCAGGAACAGTAGATGTATTAATCTGGAAATTCATCCTAAGCAGGGTAAATATGACATAAACACTGGTGCCATTGTGTATTTGCCACAAAAGGAAAGTACAGAGCCTTCTGTCAATTATCGACACTTCACTCTAAGCTGTTTTAGCTCACACATCTCTTCAACATCCCCAGAGGACTGGCAGACAGGATGCGACATAAATTCGGGGAGTTGCTTTGGAAGTACTGTTGGAAGAAACTTTTCCCTCCATGGAGAACGATAGCACAGCTTAACGCATTTGAGGACTTTTAACAGTGCACTCGTGTCAGCAATGTGAGACCCGGGTGGTCAGCGCAGTGCACTGGCCACACACTCCATCCTGCCTGGACACTCGTCCCGAGGGGACCTCGGGATCAGCACAAAACTCCTCTCCTCTGCACAGGCCATACTCGATTCAAACCATCCCTCTGCACTTTCTCAAGCACGAAGCGGCCCAGCGGCCGTGCCCGGCCGGCGGAAGCAGCTCAGCGC